AGTTCACCCCCAAGCATGATACCCCCTCTCTCAGCTGTCTCTTCAAACTATCAAAGTTTGCCCTTCTGAAATCTGGAAGTTTAGTGGAATTTTCCTTACTGTTGTCCTGAAATTCTAACTGTAATCTAATTTCTTTGTGATCGCTGTTTGCAAGTTCGTACCCTACCAAAACGTTACTAATGAGGTTTTCTCTATTTGATAGAACTAAATCGAGTTATTATTAACCCGGGTGGGTTCGGTTATATGTTGGCTTAGGAAACAGTCCTGGATTGTTTCAAGAAAATCCTCTGATTCTGAGTTACCCGTAAGGTCAATCCAATCTATTTTCCTAATGTTAAAGTCGCCTACTATTCAGACTTTGCTATGTATGGGAGCCCTGCGCATTTCGTCCCAAATAAGTCGCTCATTAACTCTCTCAAAATTAGGAGGTCTATATATATTACTCCTGTGATTAATTTTTCCCTACCGTCGCTTAATTCTATCCAAATTGTTTCTGTATTCCGCTCAGTTTTGATTTCCTTATTTATTTGACACTTCAGATTATCCCTGACATAGATTGCTACTCCGCCTCCTTTCCTAATCTGCCTATCGGTATGGAATATGTTGTGACCTGCAATTTGGTATTCGACAGGTAACTCACGTGAGTCTAGGTTTATCCATGTTTCGGTGAATGCTATTATATCGATTTTGTCGGTACATACCAAGGCCCTAATATCATCCATTTTGTTTCTCATACTTCTTTTGTTAGCATAGTAGACATTTAAGTTAGTCGTGTTCTGAGTCCCCTCTTTGTTGAGTTTAGGTTTTAACTCCCTGCCTAATTTAGTTTTGTCATAATTCCTAGCACTATTTCCCTGTAACCTTTCACTTTGTTTTCCTGCTCCCACTGCAGTATCCTCCACCTCCGTGCTCATATGTTCCCCTAGCAGTTTAAAGACTTTGACATCTTTTGAACTGCCCTCTCGAGAGACCCAGCCAGGGTTACCACCCCATCCCTAGACAGATGCACCCCATCCCTAGCATAAAGGTCCCTTCTGCCATAGAAGTTGTCCCGGTTGTCAATGAATGGGACTTATATTGACTTGCAATATCTGTCAAGACAGCCGTTGACACCAACTGCCCTTGACAACCATTTATTGCCAACTCTCCTTCTAGGCAGGACACCACATATGATAGGGATCCCTCCCTTAGACCTAATACTCTCTATAGCTGTCTTGAACTTATCAAAACGCTCTTCACTCTCCTGGCAAATACACCCTCATCCTATTTTTATCTTTATCACAAAAAGCTCTGTCCAGGTACCGTACCTGGGAGTCGCTAACAATCAAGACTTTCGTACCTTCCTTGTCAGCCTTGTCCCTGATTATACTAACGTCCAATTCATCTATCAAGGGACAGAATGTGTTGGTACACTTAGCTGTTGTTGTCGTTGTTGTCGTATCCTTGGTGTGTTTTTTCACCACCAGTTTAGTCGTCCCTCTCCTCACAACCTTCCATTCGCCTGAGTTTTCGTCAGACACCGGCTTTCCTTGCCTCATTTCTTCCTTCATTCTCGCTATCTCTTCCTTTAATTTCAAGATATCTTCCTTGGCCCTCTCCAACTCGGCCCTCAGAAGGGCACAGCCCTGTTCACAAGTAGCACTAGCGATTATTGACAAATGATCCCCGAGAGCTAAGCCGCTGTGACCTTTCCTCTAGTGAGGTCAGAAGAGGTCAGTTTCCTCTGATGATGTATTGAATAAAGACATTGTTTCCCTTTTTCCTGTGTGATTTTATCTTATCAAGATTTATGTTATCCACGTATCCTAGTTCAGCACCACTTCCACCATCCATTCAGGTTAAGGGTACTACCCTCTCTAATGTTACCCACTTTCATCATCTTGGCCCCCACCTGTACACCACCGTGGACATTGATGAAGAGGTTCAACATTAGATTAAACGTTCATTTCAACCCTTTGGTAGACTAGTACTTGTATCTTTAGCTGTAGGGAGATGATATTATCTATAAAGTTGCACGTATATCGAACAGTGGTCCTCCCCACCTTGCTGTATAGCAGCGAGACATGGTTCACAAACAGGAGGACCTTCAAGGCACTTGAAAGCCTTAACCAACGTAGTCTACGATCCATCCTCCGAGTTCGCTAGGAAGACAAGAGAACAAAAGCCAGTACTCTTGCTAACACCAACTGTAGGAGCATCGAGGCTACCATTATGTATGGATAACTACCTTGGACTTGCATACCCGTATGGAACTAGACTGCCAAAACAACTACTTTATGTTCACCTAACGAATGGTAAAAAAAACGCTGTCGGAAAACGGATAAGGTATAAAGATAGTCTTAAGACAACCTAAAAATGTCAAATCGACCCCCTCACCTGGGAGACGATCATTCCACACCTTAACGCTTGCATGAGCACCAAACGACAAGGTGTCAATACTTTCGACATCGCCCGACGACATACCGAAACAGACAAGGACTAGCGCCGGAAAAACGCTGCCGCCGCCCCTCCCACACTAAATGTAGCCATCCACATGTGCAACATCTGTGGACGGCCCTGCCGGTCCAGTATCGGCCTCTCGATTCACCTCAGATCTCACCAACAAGGGTGACATCTTTAATAACTCATACTATTGTATCATAGCTGGATGATCATCATACTCGATTCCGAGTGACAGCAAAATACTGAAGAAAGCACTTAAATTAATTGACGTCATGATAGAACGCTCATTACTGATACACAGATACTCACATAGTATAACAATGTGTTTTAGCAGCCTTGGACAGGCGACGTACGACCCTCCTCGTCGAGAAACATTAATTACCTGCTGTGGTTTCCTCCCGTCTTCCGGTTCCACCAACACGATCAATACCCACCACTACTATCAGCTCTCAGCCACCCACACATTCCCCTGATCGGACAATATTTAATTGGAGTTTTAGTGCTGGACTTTCAATAACCTTAAACTTTGGTGTTTATCATATCTAGGCCGGGGCACTGTGGAAAAGCAAACATCGTTTACCTAAGTACTGACCAGCGACACAGCCTTTAAAAAAAAATAGTTTAGTTAAAGTTTTTTGAAATCTGACATTGAACCTTCAGTTAAGAAATGTCATGTTAAGGGAATGTACTGTATGTTAGAGGAGGAGGGGGCTGAGGCTTGAAGTTCATGGGGTGTATTGATCGTGTAGGAAAAGAGAGAAAGTCTTGGAGAAACATGACAGATAATCAATGTTTCCCGTGGTGGAGTGAGGGAGCAAAAAACTGCTTTTAAATAATTTATGCCGTTTGGACATAATAAATCATTAAAATCAGAACGGGAACCTGGATGTTAATCGATTTGCTGATCATATTCCAGGGCAATGGTTAGCCAGTGCAGTTGGCGAGTTGTCCGGTCTTCTCCGACTATTCCTTGACACTGGGTCATGCAGCTCGTTAACTGAGGGTGTGGTTGTTGTTTTGGCGACAGCTTCTACACCTTAAACAAATTCACGCCTTGGTGGCCCTTGGGCCGGCCATCCTCGATTTCAAGGGGCTTCCATTATTATGCGTGTGTGTACCAATATCAAGACCTTCATCACACTAGCAATTTGAATGACTTGATAATTGTAAACATGTGTTTTAGGTTATGTTACGACCAATGCTTCAAGAATTATACTTCTCATAACTAAATCAATTGCAAGAAGCTGTAATTTTCTTGAGTGCTCGCAACTGTAATATGACTTGTCGGGATGAAAGTCTATATGCTCATTAATACTTAAGGGTTTAATTAAAAATAAGAGCATTTGATACATTTGCAGTACTTGACAAAATATTTCAGAATAAACATTAGGTAACCATATTTTAGAAAATTAATAAGTAGTTGGCCACCTCTCAGTTATCAGTCTTTTATCATCTTCAAATCTTTACTATTTATACAGTGTCTCAATATAGATTACTGTTCTTATCATGTGTGCGTCAACAAAAATCGTTATATTTAATAATGTTTTTTATTCAGCAGGCATTATTTCCTATAAAAATATTTGTGTTACATCTGCAGAAACGATTTTATAAACATAAATTGTTTATATTTTGTATATTATTTACTGGCTGTGACAAAAATGACTTTGGACAAGTGAAGAAAAGAGTAGAAGAAAAGTTGCGGCATTATTGATCGCTCACGGTTGAACACAAAAAGTACTCTTAGTTACACCACTGAGACAGCAACATTCTTGAAGAGGTTTAGTCTGGGGCGACATTCCTAGAAACTTTGACGCGCCTCACATAAAAAAATAATAGTAATAATAAAAATAATAAAAGTAATAATAATAATGATAATAATAATAATAATAATAATAATAATAATAGTAATAATAATAATAATAATAATAATAATAATAATAATAATAATAATAATAATAATAATAATAATAATAATAAGAATAGATTAATAAAATTCATATCCCACGTAATATTTTTTATCTTATTTACTTCCATTGGATTATGATACGATATTATTTTTCAACACAAAAATCTAAATGTGTTTATGTAGGTGTCTATTCAAGGGAGCTGCAGTCTTACGTGACTAATTCTAATTACTCTTAATTACTTTTTTATAGATTCCTAAGTAAAGCTCCAATTTCGCGTTCAGCATTAATACGACCTCTTTATAATGCACATTAAATAGACATTATGGAGGCTATTTTGTTCCTGACAAGGTACGTGCTCCATCACGTCTGTTTCCTGACTGATGTGCCTCACTGTCTCACACCTCTTTTTATGTATAATTATAATTATATTAGGCGAAACAATATATATATATATATATATATATATATATATATATATATATATATATATATATATATATATATATATATATATATATATATATATATATATATATATATATATATATATATATATATATATATATATATATATATATATATATATATATATATATATATATATATATATATATATATATATACTGTATATGTTGTATCCCCAGTGACGACTTTACGGCGATGAGCGTGTGTGGAGTGACGCTGGTGTTCTTCATGATTCTTGACGTGTCCAAGGCTTTTGTCACCACCCATAGCTCTTCAGGTCAGTGGATGGTAGTTTTCTCATGTTAAGTGTAGAGAGAGACGTTGAAAAAGTAGGTACAGTTCATACACTTGATGAACAGCGTCTCATGAATATAACATTACTTACCTGTCATAATCGTTACCTTCAAAATCTGAAGCGTGTTTTGTCATTATTATCCATCGATTTCGTGTGCCGTAATGGTTAGACATGAACCGCTGAGTACCTCATATCACACAGTTAAGGACTTTCAGGACCCAGTCATTCCACTCAAGGCGTGTACGTGTATTGATTTATTACTAATGAAGATATATTTATATTTTCTCTCTGTTTTATTGTATATTGACAGTTTATATTGGCTGTAAAAAATAAACAACATAAAGCTGTGCACCTAATAAACAATTTCACAGTCATCACACTCTATGTAAACAAATGTAAACAGGTTCATTTAGATATCCAAAAATAACTACCAAACTCAAAATATGGAAATTCCGTCATCAACCTTACATACCATATTTTGTTATGATTCTAAAGCAAACGAGAGGGGAGTTTTGATAATGTTGTCACTGTGAGTTTTATATTACCCCTTTTGGGATTTTACTCCCTCGGAAATTCATAATATACAGACAATATTTTGCATTATACCACTGCGTCATAACCTTTGACACATTCCATTAGTTTGATTCGACAGACTTACAAATTATACACCAACAGATCACCAAAATACTGCTGGTGTTTCGTTATCTTAGGTGCCAACCGTAGGTATGAATATGGGTGTCTTACGGTATTCGAACCCATGAAGCTCTCAAAAAGTCTTCTAGCAGTAAGGCATTCCGTTTACGATAATATTACCTTGTATATATTGTAATATTATCAGTGTTATTAATGTTTGCCCTATTAACTCACATATTTTTATAAAATGTCTGTACACACACACACACACACACACCTTGTCTCACTGTTATGAAGCGTGTCTCGAGTATTGTTTCATTGATATTCCTTTTTATGAAACTGATTCGAATGATACTTAAATATTTCGAGTTTTGAACTCTTCAAAATAACGGTTAGTTATAAGGTAATAGGCCGTATTATTCAAGAAAAGAATATAGTAATATAATCACATGGTTCACTAAAGAGTGTGAATTTATAGCAATATTACACATGAGAGGTCACTGGAGAGGAGGATTGTCATGGTAATTATGGTCGCATGTGACAGCAGCAGTGAGGGCGTTGCTGGAGACTACAACCCGGCCTACATGCACTCTCGCTCTCCTTACTGACGGCACCACCTCCCACCAAACTCTTTACCAGGTACAGCATTGCTACTACTTTTTAAGAAATTACCTGAAGAATATGTAAGCTATGAGTCAATTCTTGTAGTTTTTGCAAAAGCACTTTTTGTAGTTTTAAAGGTTATAAAGTGATAAAAAATAGTAGTTGTATTGAATTTAATGATTATGATAATGCAAGTGATAGGTAATGTTATAATAATATTGTAGAGTAAAAGTGGGTGCCCTGAACGTAAAGTATAGAGCCTATGATACGAGACGAATTATTTATAATAATAATAATAATAATAATAATAATAATAATAATAATAATAATAATAATAATAATAATAATAATAATAATAATAAGAACATAAGAAAATAAGGAGTCTGCAATAGGCTGGTTGGCCTGCGCATGGCAGCTCCTGTCGAGAGTTACTACCACTCTCTATCATCCATGAATCTATCTAGCCTCCTTTTGAAACTTTCCAGAGTTCCCGCACTTACTACAAAGTTGGTAAGCTTGTTCCACTCGTCCACCACCCTATTTGCGAACCAGTTTCTTCCTATCTCCCTCCTAAACCTAAACTTATCCAACTTGAATCCGTTGCTGTTAGATTAGAGGCAAAACCTGAAAAACCCTCTAGAAATCACTTTAGGAGTTACATATTGCTAACAACTGTCATCCATGGCAGTGAGTTAATATGAACTATATTGAACACATTTCAGGTGGATGACAATGGACGAGTTGATGGTCGGAATTTTTTCTTAAGATGGCAGGTCAGTGGGTAAAGAAAACGCTTAAATTATCAATGGCAATGATATTTTTAAATAAATTGAGCCAAAAAGGGTAAAAAATAAGGGTTAAAGCTGCTAAAAAAGTCACGTGACAGCTGTGGAATATGTGTTGTTACCTACATAAATACAGGACTTATGGCCATATACAATGTTCAAGCAAAGGAGAAAGTGTCGTTAGTGCCTCGTGCCAATGTGCAAGAGTACCTACAATTCCTAATCAGGCAAAATATTCATCACAGTACCGAAAGATAACGAAGAGATGGTTGCTTGCTGCTCGACGGCACTTCCCCATGACAGAATCCAGCACCTACTCTAAACAATAAGACACACTATCTCTACAGGATTTTTGTCGCCAAACATTTTTCGATCGTATAAGAAGATACAGATCATATGTTAGGTTAGGTTAGGTAAGGGTTAGCTTAACGGTAAGGGGGGGGGGGGGGTATTAACTCAAAACTAGTGATTTCCGATAGAAATGAAGGTGTAGATCGCTCGTAACAAATCGCAAACCACCAGAAAAAAACTTAGTCTGCATGTCTAAGTACAGGGATGACAAAACTTAAAATTTACCCAATATAGCCTATCTCGAATCTAAACATCAGATACTTTTGGTAGTTAAAGTAAAATTTTACCCATTAAATAATATAAATAATTATATACCCCAGGAGTTCATTAGTGAAACACCAAAACAAAGTACAGACAATGTCATTATTGAAAATTAACTTTTATCTCCATTTAGTACTGATATGCTCTGTAAATGAACTGAAAAAAAAGAAGAGAAAGTCTACCAGGTAAGAGTACATGACAGCTGAGCTGGTGTCCAAGACAACATAAGAATGGAGGAAACTGTAGCGGGCCTTTTGGCCCCATTTACACCCAACCCCTATCTCTCATATATCCATCCAACTTATGTTTGAAGTTGCGGTTCACAGCACATTTCTTCACTTACGAAATGTCCATGACTTAGACCACAAAAAAAAACCCTTTAAAACTTACCTGAACGTGGCATTTGGAGTCTGAAGAGGACATCCTTTCTACTACATCCGACTGCAGCAATGAGTTTGAAGGGATTAACGTCATTACAAATGGCGGTCCTGTTTCTAGAGGAATAAACTTATCTCGACTATTTTAGCAGGACTTTAAACTTTTAATGCAAATTATATATACCGTATCACTCTACGAAAGTGGCAGAGTGTATTTTTTGTGTTTACCCAGAATCGTCAACTCGTGCATTGAATCTTTTAGTAGATTTTTAAACGAAAAACAAATGGTTGCCCAAGCCGTAGTTGAAATATTTAAATAAAACCTGATATCTCTTCAAATAAACAAGCTAACTTCATGAAATTTGCTGTGCTCAAGGCTTTAATAATATATAAAGGGACAAAAAGAAATTGAGACAAAATAAAATATGAAAGAAGTGGGACTAGCAAGGATACAATGTGACAAGCAGGATATTCAGAAGATTGTTGACCAGATTAACAGGTTTGGTATCTTTCGACATGAAAATCCAAGTATTGTTTTTGTCTGGCCACTGCAGACGTTGTTCCACACCATATCACTGACTCTCTGTTAACAGTACATACCTGAGGACAAGAAAAGATGCAACATTTTGTTGATTTGCGCCTCATCAAAAAGGATTTAGGTTTTCATAAAGAGCAAAAACATTTAATGTACCTAACACTCACTCTCACATGTAGCACGTGCAAACCAAAGATCCAGCATTGAAAGAAAAAGGCGGAAAAGCAAAGAGAACTCTTGTTCAACATTGACTAATTTCAAAAAATGATGAACATAAGAACATAAGAAAATAAGGAGTCTGCAATAGGCCGGTTGGCCTGTGCATGGCAGCTCCTGTCGAGAGTTACTACCACTCTCTATCATCCATGAATCTATCTAGCCTCCTTTTGAAACTTTCCAGAGTTCCCGCACTTACTACAAAGTTGGTAAGCTTGTTCCACTCGTCCACAACCCTATTTGTGAACCAGTTTCTTCCTATCTCCCTCCTAAACCTAAACTTATCCAACTTGAATCCGTTGCTCCGAGTCCTATCCTGCTCGGATATTATAAGAACTTTATCTATATCCCCTTTATTGATTCCTTTCACCCACTTAAATACTTCTATCATATCTCCCCGCACTCTTCGTCTTTCTAGGGAATGCAAGTTAAGTTTCTTTAACCTATCCTGATATGGAAGGTTTCTAAGTCCCTGAATCATTTTTGTCATTCTTCGCTGCACCGACTCTAGTGAATTTATATCCATTCTGTAATAGGGGCACCAGAACTGTACCTCTTTCTCTTGCTGGAACATCAAGAGTTCTACGACCGACAAATAAGGTAGTTTTGGAGAAATTCTCCAGTCTTATACAACTGTTGAAAATACAACTTCCATTCACAAATCTCAAAACGTGTCATCATTAATGGACACGCACTTGTTCAAGCAATTGGAAATTTTCTTTTTTTTTTTTTACTTTTTGAAATCTGGCAAATGTATTCAAAACATATTAGTTCGGTCACTTGAGTGATGCACGTTCTTGAGTTGATGTAGTCCTCGACCGCGATGAAGAAAATGTATCAAAGATACAACGCATATTGACAGGGTGGAGAAAAAGAGACCAATCCGGCGAAAGATTGAAAACAAGGATGTACAGTCGGGGTCAAAAGTGTTGAACACTTGACAGTATTTGGCATGTAAGTACCCGAAGATTTTGGGTATTAAGGAGAGTTTTATCCCATTTTGTGGTTCAGGCATAATATGTGATGACAAGTAGTGCTATTAGTATATCCCAATCATATATGTATAACTCAGAACTAGATGCCAGATATTGCTAAGTGTTCAAGACTTTTGACCACGACTGTATCTTTACCAGTACATTGAAACAGTTCATTGATCTTCCAGAAAAAAAAATTGGAAACTTTCTTGAGTAAGGAGCTCATTGTTCAATCAAAACCAATCTTGCAGAATTGTGAAATTGTAACATCTGGGGGACTCCACGAAATGACTGCTGTGGAGTCCTCTCTTGGGACAGATGTTAGTTCACTCAGGTCTAACCATGATGAAGCAGACACCCGAATAATTCCTCATGCCAGATCATTAGCAACTCAAGGATATGAACAAATAGTCGTCAACTCAAGAAACACTAATTTCTTCGTACTATTAGTATACTACGAGGACCCCATCGAAACAACTAAGGTCCGTTACTGTACACGACACAGAAATTGAACCAGTTCTCCGCAATAATCTTTCAGGTTTTCATGCACTAACTGGATGTGACATAGTCAGCTAGTTATGTGGCATTGAAAAACATCAGCCTGGAAAATATTCAAGAAGCACTGAACTTTGCTAATTAGCCTCGGACGAGGTTATCTGAATGAAACGATCACAGCAAAACGTGAAAAAGTGTATCTACAGGCTTTACTCCTCGAACGAAAATGACACGAAGATCAACGATATAATTTACAAGATGTTCATCAAAGGTACAAAGGAATCTGAAAAAATTACGACCAACCCAGTCCTCTTTACAAAACATCAAAAGTACACATATTGACAATGGTTGGTAGAAAGACCCTTAAACTGGAAACATACTTCCTCTTCTGATGAGTGAAGAATCGTTTCCCAGTGTTTACCTTAAGCTTACCCAATGTCAGTGCAAGAACTGTGAAACAACAAGATGCAGTTGTCATGCAAAAGACCAAAGATGTACTGCTGTGTGTGGCTGAAGTGGTGGAACCTGTCAAAATCCACCTAATAGTGCAAATGATGACTTCGACTAGTCTACATACGTCAAAAGATGTACTTTATATTTAAATTATTGAATATTGCTTATTCAATCAAAGCCATTTTACATTGTTTTATGATATAAGTGGTCTTATGTACATCTATAAACACAATTCCTTTTAGATTGTATGTTTAAGAGATGTCATGTTTGAGTGAAATCAGAGAGATGTCATTTTCGAGCTCAATGTTTACTTTGCTCTTCTAGTTTATTAAAATATTCATACATACCAAACCGAATGAGATCAGATTGTATATTTTCAGACATCAAGTTTTATTTAAAACGGGGACATGGGTTTGGGCAGCTATATTTTTGCTTGCTTAAATGATTTTGGAATTGTTTTACTAACAGTCTCACTTTTCTTTCTATATTATTAAAAGCCTTTCTCTCTCCAAATTTCATGAGGCTTGCTTGTTTATTTCGAGATATCAGATTTTATTGAAATCTGTCAAATACGCGTTCAGCGGCCTTTTTTTTCGTTTAATGCAACAATAAAAGATAAGACTGAGTGTCATCTACCTGAAATGTGTTCAGTACCTGTTATATTAACTGTCTGGCATGGATAACAGTTGCTAACTTACCGTCACTCCTGAAGTTAAATTTCAATATTTTACCACTAGTCTACAGTATATGAGAAGAGTTCATTAAGCCGAGAAAATAATATAACCACCACACGCTCACAGATGTGAGTGTATCTCTCAGGTATCATAATTTTTCTCCTCAAAGCTATAGTTTTAATTAGCAATTTCATTCATAATTAAGAAAAATCCTATTAATTATTACTTAAATAAGTTGAATAAAAATTTACCTATGCGATTACCATTTCTCTGTTCGTTGAAATTACTGCATTTTGAAGCATTCTACGTATCGCCTTTCAGGTATTTGGCCCTTTAGAATATCCTTTGGGAGTATTCGAGGTTGACAGCCAGGACGCTAACGTGACACAGGAGCAGCTCTCTCGGGTGATCAACGAAGCTCGGCGGGTAGGTCACTTTCACATTACTACTGAGACGGGTAGGTCACTCTTACATTTTTTTTTAACGTGGCCTCCAGCCTCCCTCTATAGCCACACCTTCGCCGCCATTTCATTACCTTAAACTTAAATATCCTAATACATAAGTAGCTATCCTAGCTGTGTTGAGTTAGTTGAGCCGCAGATCTATGCGGCCTTCAGTGACTGTTGCCTCATAGTCAATATCTGCAACTGTTGTCGGCTTTGGGGCCGATGCTCTCGTTCCCCTGAGGCAGAGCAAAGCCGACCTAAGGACAGAGAAGGACAGTCGATATCTCATCCAGTCTGTAACATAACCTCTGGGCTGCTGTTTCTGTTCAGATGGCACCTCCGCGAGTCTGGCGTAGAAGCATCTTGCACTTAGTCCTATCCCACCAGAGGTTATGAACACTAGAGGAGTGAAGCTGCCTTGATTAACGTTTTGAATTCTCTCCCCGTATGCCCTTAACTTCTCGTTCCTCTTGGGTGCAGCATCAAGAGCTAAGTTACGGTGACATGCGGCCATGGGATCAAAAATTCTGATGTCGAAGAAGGCATACTGCCCCCGCGTCCAGAATCCTCGAGCACTGACGTCAACACGGGCTTCGTTGGATGTGTTTGAAGTCCTATGTTGGAAATTCTCACCGTCCAATGGAAGGAGGGTCGATTCTACCCTGACATCACGGCAGATTTCCTTCAACATATTTGCTGTAAGATCCCTTACTTCCTCATGCCTCATGCATATGAAGCCCCCTTTCTTGCACACCATGGCATGATTGACGTCATAGGAAGAGCCACACACGCATTGCGAAGGCAAACCCTCTACTGGCCTACCGTACCTTAAAGCAATGGCATCTGTAAATTCTTGTTTATTGAGACTGAAACCATTTGCCCTTATCGGTAACGTAGTTAACCAGTTCGAGGCGCCCACCTCCTGCGCTATAGCTACTTTTTTTTCAATTTCTCTGGTACCTGCAGCAACAGCTGCTGCAACTTATCACATTGGCCGTGCTGTCGTTCTGTCGTAATGGACCTTCGAATCTTGTTTACTTCACTGGTATCCACCTCCCCTGTTGCTTTCTGAGCTATTATGTGATCCGTTAGGGCTGCCGTGAGCTTATTTGAGTTTTGATGTTCTGTGACAGCAATCTCCTCTGGATTGGTCAATCCCATTCCTCCCAGTCTTTGGCAGTGCAAGGAATGATCTTTCTGTTGGGGTTAAGTGAGGGTGTTTCACTAATTTAGGAATGAAATTGACGCTGATAGCTTCTTCCAGAGGGTGGAGGAGGGGTCCGATATCAGGGATAACGCGCATCAGGTAGTTCCAGAGATGCTTGACTCCATGGGTGAATGCCGCAAAAGCCGCATGTGGCTCTGTGTTAGCAATCTCAGACAGAGCTTGTGTTCCCTAACCCACTCATTCACCTTTCCCGTTACGTACTCGGTCTTGAAGTCTGTCGTGCCGATTACTGCGCCTAGGTGTCTTCGGCCATCCTTTGTTATTTTGACCTCACTTCCACCGAACACCTCCATTGCCCGTTCATAATGTTCTGGCTTCACATTGAGGAAGGACTTGCTGGCGTTTGGGTGGTACCCTATTTGTGGGCCTCGTGATGTTACCAGGTCCCACCACTTTTTGATGTCCTCCACTTTTCCTGCTCCTATAAGGTCATCAGCGTACGCCACTTGCTTGATCTCAGTTGTTTCAAATTTTATTGTGTGTTGGAGCACGGATAGGCCTATTGCGTACATTGCCATTGCAACAGGGTCCCCCTTCGTTGTTCCCTCGGTTGACTGTATGATGGTATCACCTCTTAGAGCCTTGTTGTTTACTATATAAAGGCCTGATGGATTCCTATAGGAGTTTTCAACATACATTTCAAAGCTTGGACACTTGATCTTGATGTTGTGCAGTGCGGCCTTGCAGTTAAGTTTGTTGAATGCGTTTGAAGCGTCCACCAGGAGAACGGCCTCGCAATCGTACTGCTCAAATATCGTTCTCATTGCGTGAATGGCAGCTTTCCCTCCAGCTTGGTGGCCAGCACAAACTTGCAGGTTCCCTGCTGCTGCCTTGACATCTTCCTTTACCACCCCTATTGTGCATTTTCCGAAGATCCGCCTCAGCACTTCCCCCACCCCTATCGGCCTATATCCTGGATTCTTATCCAGGGGAATGAGGCGGCAGGCCGTCAGAGCATGGAGGTGTTGGCAGCACGAGGATGCCAGCTTTCTTGCAAGGACGGCAATGGCAGTGCAGAGGTCACTTGCTACGGGGCCAAACTTGTTAGTGCTGAGGATGACTCTCCAACCGTTTGCATCCAGATCTGAAGGGCCTGCACCTCCCTGAGTCTTTAGTGCCTTTTTCCACACCATCCCTCCAGTTATTTTCTCGAACAGGACAGCATTTGGTGGGATATAGTCACCTTGTAACCTGATGCCTTTGTCTTCCCTTGCAGGGGGGTGTTTTTCTTTCAGTTGTTTTAATGTCTCTCTGTTTATTGGTAGAACCCCACCGGAGGATTCCTCTGTGAGAGATCTTACCGCGAGAGACACTTTTCCCACGCTCATTTTGTTTCCAAACTTTCTTGCAACGTCATCGGTGTTTTGCTTTCCGTCTCCTTTAAATTTTAGTCTCTCCTGCAGTGTTCTCGCTTCACATAGGAGATCATCAAGGGCCCCATTCTGCCACATTGTCAATCTTCTCTTCATTGCTGCCGCATTTTCTTTGTGCTTAGTCTTTGTGTGTGTCCTCTGACAGAATAGCTGCGGTATTATTGCCAGTATTTGAAGAGCCAAAGAGGCAAGGAAGCAGTCCTGAGTGTACTTAGTTATGAGGCGAATCATCTCCCGAATCATTACTTTGGTGGCCGCACACTTGGGTGGTTCAAACAGGTTAGCTGGCGACCACCTGACAATTTCTGAGTAAGTTTCTTTAACCCATATGTCCGCATTTTCCATCGGCATGCCATTCCACTGTGGTGGCTGTCTCTCATTCACCTCGTGGACATCTGCTACTATTGGAGCAGCGTTTATTAGTGCTACATTTTCAGGTTGAGTAGACTCACTGCTATCATTTAGGATATCATCGGGCGGTTGGGTCCGGCGATATCCACTGAGGCCTCCTGTGTTACCTCCCTGCCATGTGGCTTCCGACAATTGTTTCCCTTTCTGCAAACCACACATGGTAGGTAGGTTACTCTCACATTATTACTGAGGCGGCTAGGTCACTCTCACATTACTAATGAGGTGGGTAGGTCACTCACATTACTACTGAAGCGGGTAGGTCACTCTCACACTACTAATGAGGTGGGTAGGTCACTCTCACAATACTTCTACCATGTTTACGTCAACAGCTGCGGCAGGTGTCATGGTGCGTGACGGTGGTGGTGGTGAGCGACGACCCAGCTTTCCTCGCCGCCTTCGCAGAGTGGTCCCTCAAGGGCCGCCTCCTGGTGTGGTCAACGAAGCTCCTCGCCGTTACCCACCTGCCCCTCCCGGAGGTGCGTGACCTCCTGAGCACCTTCTGGACATTCTCCATGATGAACGCCATGTTGCTCAGCTTGGAGGAAAGTGCAGGAACCTTCAGGTAATTTATTTGTCTCATTGCTTCCTCGGCGTGTGAATCAGAAATGCGTCCGACCCTGCACCCATACAGCCTTGAGGTCAGATTACGAAAACACGAACGCATAGCAATGGATTTAACCAAATTTAATGTTGAAGTATTTCACAGCAAGAAGCAGGTGGAGCAGATGGAGGGACTAGTCACCTTTAGTGATACCTTAGTCCTATTCTTTGTCAATTGTGATTGTAATAAATTTATGAAAAAATAAATCCTTATGAAGTGGAATTACCGTTTTCCTGTTTGCAAGACAACATGATCGTTGTTTGTGAGTTATGGTCACCCGCACTTTTGAACTATTATGGATATTTCTTGTTTAATGTTGGTTAGGTTAGATACTAATTTATTAATTTAGTTACGTTACCTAACAAACAACAACAAAAATGTTTTAAATTCTTCGTAGCAAGTAATTTATATTTTGTGTTTATGTCTCATTATTCTTTATTATTGATGCATTCATAAGTCCCTCTACCACGCCGGTGGTTATCATATTGATCGATGAAGCGTAGCAATGATCCCAATCCAATAGTTTGTATACAGTGGACAGGACAAGTAATATGCCTGTCTACTGTGTCACTTTGCTGTGGCCTTGACTTTTGTATACCACCTCAACAAGGGTACTGCAAAAGTGGCGTATGAGAGATATTTGACAATTGTTTAGCTGAATACACTTTTAACTTTGACTTATATTTTCATCAAAACCATGAGACTTTGAACGTGAGTATATATATATATATATATATATATATATATATATATATATATATATATATATATATATATATATATATATATATATATATATATATATATATATATATATATATATATATATATATATGTATATATTGATACAATCACACGGGAAAAGGGAAACAACGGAGCACCTTAGCTTTCGTCTTTATTCAAGATATCTTCAGAGGCAACTGGATTACATAGACAGAGAGAGGCTTAAATATACAGGGTGACCTTATTAAACATGAGGTCAGGTCATAATGATGTCATCCACTAATCCCCACACCAACACACACGAAGAGGAGTTTAAGAGAAGGGGGCGACGTGACTAGTCAGGTCAGGTAAAAAATAAGGGACCCACTAAATAACTATCATACATCTAGATCAAAGGTTTTCATAGCATTTTTAACCTTGGGCCACTGACAAATAAATTTATGTAACATATTATCAGTTTTGAACTGACCATCACTAATGCTTATTGATTTTAATTCCTTAATCAAACTAGCTTCAACCAGAAGTCTTTCTGTGACACAAGATGATTTGAATACTTCTAAGCTTTTTTCGCAAGGAATGGGATGATTATTATTCCTAACATGAACGAACAAGGCACTGCTTTCAGATGCTGTTCTGTTATTGTACTTATTTTGTTTGATTCTGAGCTACAGTGTTTTTCCTGTCTGTCCTACATAATTACAATTACATTTGCTACATGGAATACAATAAACACTTCCATTTACATTCAAACTTGGGCTATTTCTTATTAACATATTGGTAATGGTTGAGTCATACTTGAAAACAACATTAATATTTAGAAGCTTGAGGGACCGAACTAAAGGGACAAATTCATTACATAAGAACATAAGAACATAAGAATGGAGGAAACTGCAGCGGGCCTATTGGCCCATACTGGGCAGTCCCGTTTACACCCAACCCCTCATATGAGCATCCAACCTATGTTTGAAACAATTCAGCGTATTCGAGTTAATGATGATATTTGGTAACTTGTTCCATTCATCCACTACTCTGTTTCCAAACCAGTGTTTACCTATTTCACGCCTAAATCTAAATTTATCTAATTTAAAACCATTGTTACGAGTTCGCTCCTTGTTGGATAGTTTGAGTACCTTTGTAATGTCCCCTTTGTTAGGCCTACCTTCCGCCTCTACCTCTGTCAGGTCGCCCTCATCTCCGTCTCTCAAGGGTGCAAATTAAGATGCTTTAACCTGTCTCTGCTACTCAAGGTTCCTAATAGCAGGTTAGTCTTGTCAATTTCTCCTCTGAATTCTTTCAAGGATTCTATATTCATTCTGTATCAGGTGGCCAGAACTGAACTGTGTCAATTATTATTCTCACAAAACAGAAGTCTAGTTTTAAGATGATACCTTTAGATCTTACTTCATTTACTCCTTTGTATGAACCCAAGTACTTTATTAGCCTTATTCTGAGCAAAAAACACATTGTTGACTTGGCTTAGGTTCCTACTTATCATTCCTCCTAATATCTCACCAGTCAGTTTCTCTATGGCATCGTTGTTTCAGCATCTAGTGTCTGTGGCTTCCCTGTTTACATCTCCTATAGTGAGTACTTTACATTTTTATCGACGTTGAATTTCATCTACCATTTTCAGACCATTCCAAAAATTTTTTTTAGATCTTCCTGTGGTTGCAGAATTCTCAAATAGGTTGATGCCGTCTAAGCCCCAGTGTCATCATGTAGAATTACTTATGTTGCTGTCATTGCCGATGTATGCTTCGTTTATGTATATAATAAATAATAATGGTCCAAGTATGAGCCTTGAGAACTCCACTTGTGGCGTTGCTCAATGGGACTTACTGCGTTAATGCTCTCGCTGTTTCCTGTCCTGTAACCACGCCCTAATCCATTTAAGGATGTCACCTTTGATGCCATGAGCTTCTACCTTTCTAGTGAGTGCTAGATTTGGGCTTTTGTGAAAGGCCTTGCTAAAGTCGAGATACTTACACATCATAGTGTGCCCCTCCGCCCACCGATTCGAAACTGATAGAAAGAATGTTAATAGATTGATTGAGGCAAGGCAATCAAGCATGTGAAGCACACTTTGGAATCGTGATCAATGATTGCTTCTCCGGAATGATTTCGATAAGTTTGAAATAGTGCTTCAGAAAATTCCTACTATTGATGTTAGACTGATTGGGCGGTAGTTAGAGAGTTGTGATCTATCCCCTTTGCTGAAATCAGTGGTAGAACAGCTCTCCAGGATTCTGGTACTACCTGCCAACATTGATATGTTAAACAACTTTTACTAAGGGCAGCTAAAGCTCTTCCATACATTCTTTTAATACTCTGGCAAATATCTCGCCGGGACCAGGTGACAGTAGGCTTTAGTTTGTCCTATTTGCTTACTAACATCGTTACTAGTCACTACTATCTCACTTAATTTGTTTTTCTTCACTATCTCTGAATAAATTAGGTGCCTCGGGTACATCATCCTTTAGAATTTTCGGTGGTGAAAACTGTTGAAAATATTTATTCAAATTATTGCTCCATTTTTCTGTCGTTATCAGTGACTCGCCGAAGTCTGACGTATTAGTCCAATCTTTCTCGTGTTTTATTTTGATATTTTGTTTGGTAGAATACTTTGGGGTTTGTCTTCGCCTCCGCGCTATCCTTACCTCATTATTCCTCTTTGCTTTCCTTATCTCGGTTTTTAACTACTGTAATACCTATAATAGTCGGAGGTGAATTTTATACGATTTATCCTTCTACCTATAGCCTTCCCTTTGTGTGATGTTCTTCAACATTTAATACATATCCATTTGGGTCATTGTTGTCTAGATGACTTTTTTTGTATGTGTTATATTTCTGCATACATTTGCATTAAGTAACTCATATTTAAATTGTCGTGGAACTTCGGCAATCTCCAGATCTCATTCATCAGACAGTGTCATCTGTCAGGTTCACAGCCAAGCGCGACACCCCGTCTCTCAGCTGCCTCTTTAAACTGTCAAAGTTTGCCTTTCTGAAATCTGGTACTTTAGTGGAATTTTCCTTACGTCTGCCCTGAAAATCTAACTGGAATCGAATTTCTTTGTGATCGCTGTTTGCAAGTTCGTTCCCTGCCTCGACATTGCTAATTAGGTTTTCTCTGTTCGACAGAACTAAGTCCAGTATATTATTACCCCGTGTGGGTTCAGTTATATGTTGACTTAGGAAACAGTCCTGGATCGTCTCGAGAAAATCCTGTGGATTCTGAGTTACCCGTGAAGGTCAGTCCAATCTATTTGGCCAAGGGTTAAAGTCGCCTACTATAAGACTTGTTGTGTATGGAAGCCCTGAGCATTTCATTCCAGATAAGTCGCTCATTGACGCTATCAAGATTGGGGGTCTATATATTACTCCTGTGATTAATTTTTCCCGACCGTCGCTTAATTCTATCCAAATTGTTTCTGTATTCCTCTCAGTTTTTATTTCCTTATTTATTTCACACTTCAGATTATCCCTAACATAGATTGCTACTCCGCCTCCTTTCCTGGTCTGCCTATCGGTATGGAACAGTTTTTAACCCGCAATTTGGTATTCGACTGGTAACTCACGTGTGTCTAGGTTGATCCATGTTTCAGTGAATACAATTATATCGATTTTTTCGGTACATACCAAGGCCTTAATATCATCCATTTTGTTTCTCATACTTCTACTGTTCGTGTAGTATACATTTAAGTTAGTCGTGTTCTGAGTCCTCCCCTTACCGCCTTTAGTTTTAAACTCCCTGTCTAATTTAGTTTTGTCATCATTCCTAACACTATTTCCCTGTAGTCTTTCACTTTGTTTACCCGCTCCCACTGCAGTCTCCTCCACCCACGTGCCCATATGTTCTCTTAGCAGTTTAATGACTTCGATATCTTTTGAACTGCCCCTACTGTTTGTATAGTATACATTTAAACCTACTCTTCCCTGGTCCTTTTTTACCCCTTGTCCTGAGCAACTAATTTTACTTCCCAGGACCTGCTTGTTTTTTGACTCCCACTTTCCCCGACCCCTCTCTACTGGCGAGGGGTCGATAGGGCAGAGTCAAAATATTCTTAAGTGTAGGAATTTGCCTGGTTTGAGAGGAATGAAAGGATTTTTTAGCCCTTTTAAAACAACGATCAACAAACACAGAAGGGTACCCGAGTTTTTGTACAATGGAACGAATGTGTTTCAATTCATCATCAATAAATTCAGAGTTACAAATACGCAGACATCTTAAGAACATA